TATATATATATATATATATATTGAGGGATAGATCTTCCCTGGACATGGATCTTGTCCGAATTATTTATATTTGGGGATGGATCTTCCCATGGGCTGGATTGGCCTTATACAATACTGAGTGACTGAATGTCAGTTATTATGTATATATATTTGGGATGGATCTTCCCTGGGCTGAAATGGCCTTATACAGTACTGAGTGACTGGATGTCAGTTATTATGTATATATATTTGGGATGGATCTTCCTTGGGCTGGATTGGCCATATACAATACTGAGTGACTGTGCGTGAGTTGTTATTTATATTTGGGATGGATTTGCCTGGTACAGTACCGAGTGACTGAGTGTGCTGAATATTGAGCGTGATAAGTAAAAATGCGAGAGAGTGAGATTGAGTCCTATGAGAGTGTGAGTACTTGAATTCATCATTGTGCTGCGTTGCATTAGACATGCCATCTGATAGTGAAATTTAGTACCTGTTGTTAAAGTTTTTGATAAAAAATCACATATTTCAAACTTAATCATACTTTGGGTATTTTCGAAAAAAGACTTGAGTGTTACTATTCTACTTGAAAAGAAAATGTTTATTCTTCCGGAATTGTATATGAGCTAAGCATTTTATTGGTTATTTATTACGGGTGTTACTTTAATTATATTGCTATGCGATGTTACTGGATATTGGTGTGGACTCTGACCTTGGTACAAGCTCGTCACCACTTTCAACCTAAAGTTATGTTTGTAACTTATTGAGTACATGGGGTCGGTTGTACTCATACTACACTTCTGTACCTTGCGTGCAGATTCCGGATGTTGATGTTGCTGTACATGGTGGGAGCTAGCATTGAAGATGAGCCTCTTGTTCTTGGTAGCTTTAAAATTATTAATCTGTTTATGTATATTTCAAACAGATGATGTATTTTATTTCATACCAACTTTGTAAATTCTAATCTTAGAAGCTCATGATTTGTAGTACTAGTCATTGGGAAGTGTATAAAAGTTAAGTTATTTCATTATTTATTTTCTCAGAAAATCTCATTGAATCGGATTGTTATTATTTGGCTTACCTTGCGGGTGAGGTTAGGTGTCATCACGGCTAGTCGGATTTTGGGTCGTGACAAAAAGAGGGAGTAACAACATCAATTTCACTAAAACCTCGCAGTTGAATTCATATTATGTCTTTTTTGTTTTTTTCATAATTTTTAAAAGAAAAATTACAATGACTAATGAATGTGATCCCAAAAAATTTAAATCATTGCCGTAATTATTTTTCTATCTTGTACCCTTTTAATTAATTATGAAAAGAAATTAAAATTTCTTGAGTAGAAAACTAACCATAAGCCAACTTAGACATGTTTCTTGGATCAAGTAACTCTATAGTTTTGCAACTGAAAAATGAGAAAGCATCTTCATTGAACTCGAGAAATACATATATAATTCAAAATATTATCAAAGACCAGCAGCACATCATACAATGGTTTTTATCTCTGAATTAACTGATCTTGTTATATGTATATATTAAGATTTCTTTTCTGCATTAGTATACATAATTCGAGCCGAAAACATTACAGTTCAATTGAATACCATAGTACTCACCCTAAATCCGCCTCTGACTATACATAGTTCTTCGTACATACCAGCATATTTGTCCAATATATATCAGGCATAATACATTGTATTCAAAATGCTAACATTTCTCTATCTTTTGTCACATCCCAATCAAGTCCGGTAGTCCAAAACAATCCTCACAACACATCATAAAATGGTTTTTATCTCTGAATTAATTGATCTTATTATATGTATATATATTTTTGATGTTTTTTGCTTATGTATACATAGTTTGAGCCGAAAACAATGAGTTTAGTTGAATACTATAGTACTCGCCCTATATTCGCCTCTGACTATACAATACATAGTTCTTACATACCAAAATATTGGCCCTATATGTATCAGACATAACATATTGTATCCAAAATGCGTCATTTCTCTATCTTTTGTCACATCCCAATCGAGTCCGGTAGTCCAAGAAAATCCTCGCAGCACCATAGTGAGCCAATGCACCAAAAATAACAAATGTATGAAATATTTGATGACTATGACCAACTATATCAAAAATTCCAGGCTTCCATTTCTCCGGTATTCGGCTAACATAAAATATAGCCCCTGTTATATAACACAATGCCATTGCAGATTCATATGCAAGTGTGACATTCCTCATAGGATCAGTCCAATTCAACACAAGTGCATGGATTGCAGGTACCAGACCAAAACAACCCATGGACATGAAAAGCCCGGCCCGAAATGACCGATATTTTCCGGTCGAAAACACGGGGAAGAGCAAGGTTATGATAGTGCAAATTCCCAAGATTGTGATTCCAATGAGGTAAACAATTTGCCAATGTGGTGAATATTGAAAGATGTAATACATTGGTGGGAAGAAAGAAGTGATGATCATTACTGATATTCCAACATAGTCCATTTGGACTAAGAAAAGGTTCAGTTTTTGTGAGTGACATAAGAAGAGATGACAAATACTGCTTGAAAGAAGACAGAACATTGCACCGGCTAAGAACACATAGAATGGCCAAGTTGCTTCATTTGTTACCCTATTTGATAATGTGATGCCCATTGGTAAGTGTCGGTCCTGCGTCAGTGTAAAGAAGTTTTACGCTATCAGTTCAATGACATAGTTATTAGAAGGGTTTAAGTTGTATACATTGTCGCCCACATTGTTAAGATGTTTTACATAAGCTACCAATACAATTTATCTGGTTATAGCACGTCCAGTGGTGGATCTACATTGTCAATTGTGGGTGCTCAAGCGTTCATTATCTTTGACCAGATTTAGTAAATTTGCATAGGCAATTATAAAAATATTTAGACAAATATTGAGTGAGCACTCACAACTTAACTCCTTTTTTCTCTTCTTTTAAAATTTTATTAGCGAGGACCCATGACTTTAAAATCCTGGATTTGCTACTGAGCACGTCATTACTCTATTTTCCATATTATCATATCCAACTTAATACAAAGAGTTACCTGATATTGTGGTAAATTTAGTTAAAAACTATACATTATCATTTCACAGAACGTAAATCCTTCCTAAAAATGAATTTAACTTATATATATTGGCGGTGAAAAGAATTTTTATATATTAGTGTAATTTAACTTGTTATAGCAGGTTGTCAATTTTATTTTTCAAGTAACTAGTTCCACTAGTTACGGAAATTATCTATAGTTATCATTTATGTGATCTGATAGTGTAAAATTGTCAGTTTATCAAAGATTAAAGGAAAAATGACACTGGATAGTCGCACTCAAAATAATAGCCTGAAAAATGTATATTATTTTGTATATATATATATATACATATCTGTATGTTATATACAAAAAATATACAAGTTTTATACCCTTTTCGACTATCGGATGTAAATAGTTTCGGTCGCAAGCTAAAAGTGATCTATGCCCAAGATTAAACTTTTAAAAGTTCATGAAAATGTATTACTAACAATATTTAAAGAACCAGCAGGTAACTCACCTGGGAAAAAGCCTTTGAACTGTGAGAGATGTTTGCATTTCCACTTGTCGGAAAATTTCTGCAAGATTGAAGCAAAACTCAATGTTTTCATCTTAAAATATGATAATTACTAATATTCAGAATTAACTCAAGTGTTTTTAATGGATTATATTACTCCCTCTGTTTCAATTTAGATGACACACTTTCCTTATTAGTCCGTTCCAAAAAGAATGACACATTTCTACAATTGGAAGTAATTCAACTTTAAACTCTTCATTTTACCTACTTTACCATTAATGAGAAATTTTTATAACCACACAAATGACATGGTCCCACAAAACTTTTATTCCTTAAGCTTTTAAGACCACAAGTTTCAAAAGTCTTTTTTTTTTAAAACTCTGTGTCGTGTCAAACTATCTCATCTAAATTGAAACGGAGGGAGTAATTAAAAGTGACATTTAAAGTTTAGTTTTACGTGTAGAAATGGATTAATTGATTAACATTAGTCCCCGTAAAATAAGGTTGGAGATTGCCAATTGAAAATACCAGACAAGAATTAATTTTAGTATCACCTTCCGTCCAAAGTATTAATCATTTTCCAAAATATTTGACTTTTAGAAAAACAAGACGTTATTTTATTACTTTTTCCTGAATTTACCTTTACAGTTTCAACTAGTGAAATATTAACTTAAATGAGAAGATTAGAGAGCAATAAAGGATAACTTAAACAAATACCCATGCCAGGCACTCATTGTGATGATAATAAGACATTCCTAGAATTTTATGTTTTATCTAGTCTAGTTTTACAAAGGAATATGTGGGAATATGAATAGGCTAGGAACTTATAAGATAGACCAATTTTTTTATCGGGTGAGTTAGTTGAGTACTTGGGTCATGTGTCATGTGTTAAATGAGTTTTGTTATTAAAAAATAAATTTTAATATGACATGGTATATTAAATATATACTTTTTATTTTTTGAGTCGAAGGGCAATTGTTGAGTGATTTTCTTGTCCTCAATAAAACAAAAGTGACTTTGCTAGGATATCCCATAACTTGGGTGACCATCCAAGGAATTGACTCAATTATGACCCACAAAAACTACAAACCAAAAATTAAGTGAAAATTTTCACAGGTATACCCGAATTTAGTGGAACGTATTGAATAACAATATTGACCCTCAAAAATTCTAAACAGAAGAATCAAGTAATCCAAAACATTACCTCCTCCCATTTCATATGACACTATTAATATGAACAGTCAAAAGTGGTTTTTTTCCTGAATCCTTGTAATCACAAACTATTGTGATTTGAAAATACTTCTAATTTCGTTTCCAGTTATGTGAATTCCCTTTTTTTCTAGTAAAGAAGTTGTGACATGGATACACCAATTAAGAACAAAATTTAAATGTTTTAACCCTTGTGCTCCGAATTCCATAATTCCTTTTAGAACGGACCGAGTACAAAAAAAATGAACAAATTCTTGACTTCAAAAGAAGAAGAAAAAAAATAAGAAAAACAACACTTACATTATTGACATCGACACCATCAATAACAAAATTAGATTTCTCATCACTTGATTGTATTGCTTGGCTTATCTGTTTCACTGTTAGCGGAAGCAGATGTGGGTTATCACGACTCTGTCCAAAAAAAAGAAGGCCCAAAAAGAACCTTGTCATGTGCGAGAAAAATACATCAGAAAAGGAAAAGGTTTCTAGTAGAGATTCATTACCTTAGCGGAAGTGCGTGAAGGATCGGAGCCTTGAGTTGATTGAGAAGGCATAAAACCTCCGCCAGAAAATGAGTCCAATTGACTGCCTCCAAACATTGTTTTGATTTCTTTCTTTACTTTGGTCTCTCAAAAAGGGAAATAGATTAAGTTTGGTGTTTTGTTGACAGAGGAATAGATTATATATTGTAACCCTATAAAAGTGTTGAAGAATTTTTCTGCCATTTTTTGCAACTTTTCCCGCTAATAAACCGAAGGGAAAGTGTAGAAATACCTTATTTTTGTATCACCATTTAACTTGTATTCTGTTTTTATAAATTACTAATGAGTTTATCCGCGCTTCGCGCGGTTATATTTCTCATTCTTTGTTATTTTTTCGTCAAAATTTTTTTCCTCTTTCAGTGAACTTTTTACTATTAAATATGTTATAATTATTACACTTAATATTGTTTCTGTTATAACTCCTAAATATACGTTACTCATTATTTTTGCAATTACTAAATGTTTACCATCCTCTTTAGTACCTATCATATTATAATCTTTAAGATCATGATCTTTATTTTAGTGAAAAAATATAGAAAATTCAGTAACCAAGAGGGAGGAACTGACGGCTACTCCATCTACATAGAAGGACCGGCAGTGAGCACGTTTCCTTGAAGACACATAAAAACAGAGAAAAGAGTTGTAGAAATTGTACAATAAAATTTGTCATCTCGATGTCAAAATTTGTGTTGGTTTTTGTTTTTACACTTTTTTTTGTTTTTGACTTTCTTGTTCTTTTTTTGTTTTGTTTTTCTTTTTCCCTTTCATCTCTCCTCCTTTAATTTTAATATTAAAGGGAATCAATAAAAAGAGCTTACAATAGNATATATATATATATATATATATATATATATAACATAAGTTATTGTCTTTACTTGACTATACTTCGGCATAGTATCTCCAACAATGTTTCGTCATGAAACTATTCACTTTCTGTTTTTCAATTAGATTAAATAAATACACATGCAAAGAAATTATGAATACAAAATTCTAGTGTCTCCCATTACCATGTATAATAATTAATTTCTTGAAAACTCTATTTCTAGTAATCTGAAAGGGTCGCAATTGATTGATTCACAACAGAATATTAGAAGTTGTAAAGCGTATTCAACATGATATATAAGCTTTTTATTTCTTATTTGGCTCGTGAATAATAGTATTTATATCATCAACTATTAAGCCAATGGTCTATCAGAAATAGTCTCTTTACTCTCTAGGATGGGGTAAGGTCTGCATACCCACCACTTTCCTCATACCCCACTTGTGGGATTATACTTGATTGTTGTTGTTGTATATCATCAACGGTTGAATTCATCACAACAATACATCTGTGATACCATGAAAGAAAAGAACAGCTGAGGTACATGGGCTTGCTCAGTTGCTTGTGAAGCTAATCTTATTTATGCCCATAGAATCAAAGAATTTCTAAATTTACAGGGAATTCATTTTACAATAATAGCAATTTCATCTTTTAGAAAAAGTTGAAAAAGAGTGGACATCAGACATGTATTCACATTTGCTTTTTCGCCGACTGACATTCTAAATTGCTATCTCAAACAACCAAATCAGGAGTCACTGCAGGGAGCAAATAGTTACAAATTATAAGTAAAGGATCTTCATTAAAGCAACAATGAAAATATGTGTATTTCTTTGATAATATAGATGAAATAATATAAATTATCTGCAATTCATAACCACAAATTGAACTTGAAATAATGACCGAGAGAAGTATTTCATAATTTCAGTAGTATCATTTTTTCGGACTATAAAACTTATTGTATTCTTGAAAAAATCACGTATATAAATGATAGAACATACTAACACTTTCTTACATGAAAGAAAATATCCTAAATTCAGAATATGTAGTACTGCATTGAGGTCATAAAAGCAGTCTAGTCTTCCCTTGTTAAGATCCTGAACCAACAAATATGAAGACTTATTATGAACAACTAATAATACCAAGAAACTGCTCAAATAACTCAGACCCTGCCAATCCAAAAAAGAAGAAAGATGATGCAATGCTCCTAAGGTTTTATGGGTATTGTTAATTGAAGAACTCATTCTCACTGGTTATGCCTCCGAAAGACTTGATAATGCCATCCGAAGAATTTTATACAGCAATCAGTAGGTTATCACCCATTATCTTTTGTTTAGCACCAGCAGAATTGATTTGGTGGCCGGAGTAATTTTGCACAGCAGTGGATCTTTATAATGAATGAAAGCTTAAAATTATTAGGGAATTTAGAATTGGTAAAGAAATTAATTATAAAAGCAATGAAAAAAGATTACCATGGCGATCAAATGATGAAGTAAATGATTTTCACAAGTTTTACAAACTGCTTATTAAACCAATTTTGCCGCTACTTATTATCTCGTTTTCTTGCTACTTTATCTCTTCTGTTCCCTCGTACTGCATGTCCTGGTTAAGAATCAAATGAGATTATTGCGAATAAGTTCTATTGTCCACGTGCTATCTACCTTGTTAATGGACGTTTACATAATTTATACAACCATAATTAGAGATCTATAAAGAAGGAAATTTTTAAATTGCTTGTAAAGGTTCAGACAAAAAAAAGAATAATGAAATTTTTTCTGACCTTTTTGGCGATTACAAGCACAACTGGGATAATTCATAATTTCATTGTAAAATATTGAGAAATTGCAAGATAGGCCGTTCGTATAGGATGTATAAGGAACGGTTCT